GGGAAAAATAACCCTTGATCAGCATCTCGAATGTGTCGGTGAGATCAACACACACTCGCAAAGTCCCATTTTTCTTCTTTACAACCACAGTATTTAGAGCGCCATGTAGGGTAGGTCACTCCATGATTGCCCCGCCGTCAAGCAACGGTCAACCTCTTCAACAACGGAGGCAGTGTGCTCTGCGGTTGACCGCCAGCTTTTCTGAATGATTGGCTTGCATTTAGGACAATATTTAAATGGTGCTGCAAGTAGACGAATCTACACCCGACATCTCATATGGAGTTCACGCAAATACATCAAGGTGGCCGAGCAGGAAGGAATTAGCTGCTGTTTGTCGACTTGATTCAGGGAATGCCGACACTTGAAGAACCTGTCTGGTTTCCGTCGATTTCAACTCGATCTAGGGCTCTCGTGGCCTTTTCACTTGGGAGCCGCCAATATCTTCGAGGCTCTCCCGATCCGTCACCTTAATAGAGTTCACTTGTACTCCTTTGGCGTCTTCTCAGCAGAAGATACATGCTGTGCCATTTCTGGGAGCCACCGGATTTGCCTCAATGCCGTGTTCTGTCGGCGGAAGCGTAGTAGCTGATGATAGCTGCTTAGCACGGCCTGCATAGTAATAACAAGTTGCCCGCATGATAAGATTATACGGCGATGACAGCTGAAACGACCAAGAATTCCATATCCACTGTTCGGGAGCCCGCTCAAATGGTAGTGTGATTTCTCCGACGGGTATTCTAGATTAGAGTTGAAGCCGAATAGGATAAGGAGCCAGAGAAAAACCGATTCGGAGAAGCTGAGTTTGGTAAATGTCTTGTAATATATAACTTTCGATGTGCTTCCTAGGTCAATGAGTACGCGCTTAACGATGAATCGGTTTACGCGTAACTCGATTACCAAGGGATCGATGTGGGAAAGTGTCACTCCTGGCCAAATCTGAATCATCAAAACAATGCTCGCAACTTCATGGGGCCGTTTAGCCGGAGTGAGGTGATTTTGAGGGCGGGTTCGACTGAATCATATGCACAGCGAATGACATTGGCAGGCTGTATATCATGTGGATCACGCCGAGTGGAGGTGAATCTTGTCTTAAGGCTATTGCTTTGTTTTGAGTTGCCTTTTCGAACGTACTGTTGTAGCCGACATCTTGTACAATTTCTCAAGTGATCCTTCAATGTATAACAACTCTTAGTATCATGGCCATGATCCTTGTGATATTCGCACCGCCTATCTCGTCTTCGCGTGTCGGGAGGTCCCACCATTTTGACGGCCATTGGAAGAACGGAAGATGTTGGATTTTGGACATAACTGCGCTGATCGGTTCTGATAACTTCGTATATTTTCTTGTCAGCGGCCTGTGCGCCTGCTATCGACTTGCAGTTGTTCATTTGCTCGTGGGAGCATTGGTCGCTTGATCGGCGAGATCCGTCTCCTTGTCCGTTTTAGCCCGATCCGTGGTTCAGGGCTTTTGAGTGGTACAAAATTTAACGGCTGAGCAATTTCAGAAGGAGCCCGTCTTGTTGGTCGTCGTTTTCGGCCTTAACCCGCAAGGCTTCATCTTCCACTTTGCAGTATTTCTTAACTTTTTTCATCAACGACCAGACCGTTTTGGAGGCCGTCTGGTCAAAGAGCTGCGGAGGGCATGTCGGGATGTAACCCCCATCTTGAAGGTGGTAATGGCCATGGAGTCTTGCAAGCATCATCTACCATATTAAAACACTTCACATACAGCACCCGAATACGCACGATGGGTTCCCCGGTTGAATCGCATTGCCAGAGTGAATCGGCTTGCTTTGCTGGACCTCATTAGTGAATAAACCTTGCCTGAAGGATTTTTAGAGTTGGTGGAAGCTTTTATTGAAGCCGACTCCAAGTTTATAATATCACCTGAACCAGTGCGTCCTAAACGCTCAAGAAATATTCTACCCATGAGAGCCCATCGTCTAGTGTCCAGCGTCATGGCTTGCCTTGTAATAGTGGATGTGTGATCGGTGGGGATATCTATTACGTTCGTACAAGCCGTGCCAATGTCAGTGCTTTTGAATTTCTGGTAGCACTGCCCTTGCAATCCGTCGTACAAAGGGATCGTGCTGGTCTTCTTCGAACATGTCTGAACTGTTCTTCTTCGCTTATGCCTTATATGTGAGACCTCTTCAGAGGAACTGGTAGTTTCGGGTCCGTTCCTTCTTCTTGGCTCAGGGGTAATGAGTCCAGAATCGCTATCCAGTGTCTTATTGTCGTGCCAGAGGGTCGATCGCACCACTGCCCTTTAGAGGTCTTTTCCGGCATCTTGGGTACAGACTTGTTTGGACTTCGCCACTTCAAAGCCAAATTCTGACGGAGACCGTTCGCTTCAGCGATCATGTTCTCTAACCTCTATTCGTTTTGCTTTGGCTGGTTCCATGATGCTTGCATTGTCTCTTGCCTGAAAGTCAGAGAGTGAGGCGGAGTTCAGCGCTGCCTGTGCGGGCGATAGTTCCGTTTCCAAGCATGTTGTTTGGGTGAGGTCCATCTCTGCTGTTGGGTTTTTTCAGTGACTATCGGAGGGTCTTCCGTTACGCACCCACCATTGGATATATTTGAGTTATTCCTTAGACGGCAGCCAATTGTGGGGATAATGGTTTGGAAAATAACTCTTTTGATCCACTGCGGGACGCTCGAGAGATCCTCAGCTGAAGACCTGGACGACCTGAAAAGAAACAAACACTCCGGTCGGGGGTGCCAGAATTAGCACCCGACGGTCAAGTCAGTGTTATACTCTTTGTTACTTGTATTTTAAGTTAAGTGTACTAATCTCACATACCTCTTTCTGGCTGATGTTCTTCTATTTATATCTTTCTTTTCTTAGGCCTCGGGGCTGGGCCCACTTTCGATTCGCCGTATAACTGTTTATTCGGCTTCTTTAACTGCAAACCGCTTTCCACTCGGCCCCTTACTCAACCGGCTATTTGGCTGAATAGGGCCGAATGCGATGTATATATTTCGACTCTCCTGGTCTAATTATTCGGCCTATTTATGTCTCCCAATATTCGGCCCCCACATCCTCATTTTTATGTTGTTGCTTCACTGCATTGTCTTCAGTATATAATTTTTTTTTTAAAAATAATCTATTATACAACTTGCATCTTAATGTAAATTTTTGTAAAGAAAATTATAACACAATAATTTTAAAGTAAACAAAGATAACGTAGTCAAATTATTGTTGTACATGTAAAAAAGAAACACAAAGGAAAAAGAGGATTATATTTTGTAGTGTTAGTTACGGCACTTTGTGTTATGACACTTTATTTTTTATTTTGTATAGGGGGAATGGAGTGAGAAAACTTTTTTTTTCCTTTTAAAATTATGAGAATTTAGGAATGAAGTTTTGGAATTTTTTTATTTTTTATTTTTTTTATTTTTATTCAAAAGAAGTTTTGGAGCCTTCTAACATAACAATTACATTTGCTTATATATTTGTGGATTTGTATTTTTCGTGATATTAATTTATTTAATTGAGAGTGAAATTTATTTTAATTTATTTAAGTTATAGATATTTGTGGGTTTGTATTTAATTGAGAGTGGGAGACGTGATGTGTGATATTTATGGGTTAATTAAGTGAATTGTGAGTGATGGATATGAATAATTTTTTTATTATTTTATTTTGTATAGGGAGATGGAGTGAAAAAGTGAAACGAAATGATGAAGGGAGGTGCCGCGTCATTTTTCTGTCTCTCAAAATTATGACAATTTAGTAACAAAGTTTTAGAGCGTTCTGACATAACAACTACATTTGTTTATATAGATAGTATTATATAAATTTCATGTGCTTATCACGTAGGACAAAATGTGTATTGGTAAGAAATATGGATGATTTTTTTTCTCTTATCTTCATTTCATAGTCATATTCTTGTCACATTTTTTTTAAATTTTTTGAAACAGCCAAGAAAACCTTTATTGATGTAAATCAAACAAAAAGAGGAACATCAACAAAGACTGAGGGTGCAAAAAGTATCAAAGCTAAACTAGCCAATCCCAACTAGGTTGGCACCAACTAACTAGCCCAATCATTTGCTAGCACCACCCAAAGTTGGAGAGAGTCCAACCTCAAAAAAGAAAAATACAGGCAACATAGGGAACAAAACACAAAAAACTGAGATTGTTACACACTTCTCCCTTGAAGGCAAAATCTCACTTGCCTGAGATTATAAAGTAAGTCTTGCATTGAAAATAGATACTTAGAATAACTAGGTTTTATCCATAATGTAATCCTCACCTTTATCACTTCACACAACTCCACCAAATTAGGAACAAATGCATTGAACACACAATCATTCCTGTGCTTCTAGATAGACCACAACACAACCAAAGGGACACCTTTTCAGATCTTCCTCTCTAACCTCTTAAAACATTGACCTTCCTACCATAAGAGAATACCTTCAACAGAATCAGGTAAAGCCCCTTCAAGATCCCACCAATTCAACATTTATGACCACACCATCCAAACAAATGGACCAGAAACCAACATATGATTCACAGATTCATTCTCAGTCTTGTAGAAGACACACAATGTTGAAACATTACTTGGAAGGACACCAATTCTTTGGAGGAATAATGTTGCCTTAATTCTACCTCTCCAAGCTAGCCAATTAAAAAATTGAACTTTTGGAGGCAAATACGTAATCCACACCAGTTTATTTGATCTTAATTGAGGGCCTATTGAAGCTAACAATCCTTGATATACATAACACACTGAGAACTTCCCTGAGGATGACGCCTTTTACAGAGGGCAATTAGATTGATCTGCTACAATGATTAGAGCTGCCACAAGAAAGTTTCTAAGCCGGGTAACCTCAGAAACCTCCCAATCATACAGCCTTCTTTTGAACTGACATTCCCAATTCCCTTCAGAAATCTTTCTGTCATATATTGATCTGAGTGATTCCTTCTTATCCATCACCAAGTTGTACAAACCAGGGAATTCATCTTTGAGACAAGAAGCATTCCACCATTTGTCCATCTAGAATCGAACACTAAACCCATTCCCAATCTTTATCTGAGAGTTATTCATGTAATACTCTAGGAGAGTACTATTAGACCCTGCAATAGTGATAATACCTTTCCAAACACTAGACATATTACCAGTGGAACTAGGAGAAAGAATCTAATCTCGGAAGTCTACTTTATACTTACTACAGATAACTCTCCTCCACAATGCATTTTTTTCATACCTAAATCTCCACCACCATTTAATTAATAGGCAAAAATTTACCACCTTCACTCTTCTCAATCCCAGACCTCCGTATGCCAAACTTTTAGTCAATTCCTTCAATTTAACCATATGTATCTTTCTTCTTATTTGTGAGCCTCCCCAAAGAAATGGGGCCTGCAACCTCTCTATCACTCTAGTGACCCCATCAGGCATTTTAAACAGAGATATATAACATATAGGCAAAGATTCAAGAACAGATTTAATAAGAATAAGCCTACCTGCATAGAATATAAGTTTTCTCTTCCAGCTAGCTAGTCTGCTTCTAACCTTATCCAACACTGGTTTCTAAGTTGCTTTACAACTAGGATTAGCCCCAAGGGCAGCCTTAGATACTGCAAGGGTAACTTACTGGACTTACAGTTCAAAATAGATGCAAAACTAGCCAAAGATTCATCCGGGACACCCATTCCACAAATCTGACTTTTATGATAATTTATCCTCAAACCAGATATCACCTCAAAACATCTTAAGATCCTCTTCAAGCTTTTAACCTCCTCATCTTCAGTTTCACACAAAAATAAGGAATCATTTGCAAATTGTAAATGGGACAACACCACACCCCCTATACCTATCTTTACACCTTTAATAATTCCTATTTGATAGGCCCTTGTTAATAACATATTCAATCCCTTGGCTACCAAGCTAACTAGCAAATGGGACATTGGATCACCCTGTCTAAGACCCGTTTGAGGATAGAACTCATTTGTAGGAGAACCATTTACAAGAACTGAAATTCAAGCCATGGAGACACACTCCATGATCCATTCAGACCATCTTGACCCAAACCCAAAATTTAGCAGCATTGAGTGAAGAAATCCCCAATTCATGGAATCATAGGCCTTCTCAAAGTCAAGTTTAATGATCACACTCTTTTTCTTAGACTTTTTCTACCTATTCACCACTTCATTAGAAATGAGTACACCATCAAGAATGTTTCTCCCTCTAAGAAAGGCTGATTGAGTTTCACTGATCATAGAAGGAAACACTATTTTTAGCTTTTTAGAGAGTACCTTAGTTAGAACCTTATACACTGATCCGACAATGTTAATAGGCCTAAAATCTGAAAGTCCCACAGGGTTCTCCTTCTTAGGAACAAGAGTGATAAATGAACTGTTCAATCCCCTCACCAATCTGCCATTCTTATGGAAATCCTTCATAAAAGAGATCAGATCACCTTTCATCACCTTCCAGAATTTTTGAAGACAAAGAAGGTTGAACCCATTTGGTCCTGGAGCCTTATTACCATCACAATCCTTCACAGCTGCCTTAATCTCTGCCTCTAAAAACTCTGCTTCTAACATTGCAAACTGAGGGCTATATTGAACTGATTTGAATAGACCACCTAACTTGGGCCTAACCACCCAATCCTCAGCAAACTGCTTCTTAAAGTGATCAAAAACCTCGTTCCTCACCTGAGCAGGATCTTCAATCATTGAATCCCCTACTGTAAGGGATGTTAACTCATTTCTACTTTGTCTGGACCTAGCCACCACATGGAAGAATCTGGTATTTCTATCATCTTTCAGTGCCCAATTCAACCTTAAGTTTTGCAACCATATCCATTCAATTATCTTATTTAGCCTCCATACCTTTTCTTTAACTGCCTTTTTCGAACTTTTTCAATCTGATCCAGCTCTCTTAGCTCAGCTTGAAGGTCAATATTATGCAATCCTCTACTGCTTTCAATTTGGTTGAAACATTCCCATACACCTCCTTATTTCATATTCTAAGAACCTGCTTCAAAGCTTTTAATTTACTGAGAAGTATAAACCCAGCCCAACCAACTGCCTCAGTCTCCTTCCAAGATTTCTTCACAAGTGGAAAAAGAGTAGGATGCAAACAGCAAGAATTAACAAACCTAAAGGACTTAGGGCCCCAATCCCTTTCTTCCTCCATCAATAGTAGTGGACTATGGTCAGAGATTAGTCTAGGCAATCCCCATAGTTTAATCTTGAACCCTTTCAACCATCTTAGTTCCACTAACACCCTATCTATTCTATTCTATCTGTTCCCTTCCATTGAGTTGCACCATGTATACTTCCTCCCTAATAATGGTAAGTCATGTACTTCACATTTCTAAATAAACTCATTCAAATCAGCCATTTCCCTATCCCTTCTAGAGCAACCTTTCCTTTCACTAATAAATCTGGTTTCATTAAAATCCTCACATAAACACAAAGGTTTAAGAAAGTCCTCTTTGAGTTTCAACAAGCTATCCCAAAATCTCGCTCTAGCTCCCACTTTATTAGGTGCATATATATTCAAGATCACACATTCAAAAGAATTAAACAACATACCTGACAGAAGTATTTATCGCCTATTGCCGCAACAGCCTACCAATTGGAATACCAGAGGATCCCAAATGCATAAAAGCCCTCTAGCTGAACCATTCGAGCCCATAGCCATAAACTCCATTCTATCCCTAACCCACATTGCTTGGACTTCTGTTTCTAATAAATCTTCCTTCTTTTTTTCTTGAATCAAGACAGTATCCACGTTTCTCTCCTTCAGTAACTTCATAATCTTTCATTTCTTCTCACTCCTACCAATACTTCTAATATTCCATACTAACATCTTCATAAAGAGCTAATATCACTCCTTATAGACCCTTTTGATGCTGCAATCTAGGCAACTGCACCACACACCCCTCAAATTCTTTTCTTATCTTTTAGTTCAAGCTCCACTATGTTGCCTAGAACTTCAACTTCTTTTCCATTATACTGAAGACCCAATAAATTACCTAACTGTAAAGTTGCTTGGGCCTCAGTGAGAACCATTCTTCCTGCACCATTACCACTCTCAATGGATGTTGATAGTGAAGCTTTCACAACTGAACCCCTAAGGACTACTTGCTTCGAGGCTGGTTTACTTATTGATCCTCCTTTATTGCCATACCTTCTCACTAGGTTAAAGAAGCCTTTTTTCAGAGGTTGAAGCTTACTCTTACCTTTTTTTGATCCATTTTTACTTTCCTTTTTTCCTTCTATTAGTTTGCAAACTCAGACTTTTAGCCAATGGGGCTTTTGAATCACCATCCTTTCTATTATTTGGCCCAACTACCTCAGCCCATGCAGCTGTGCTAAAAATCTGATCACTGGGCCCATTCTTACCTAACCTATTAGTCACATGATTACAGCCCAATGACACTTCCAAATTCAGGCCTGGCTTAAGCAAGCTAGACCTACTTAAACTCCTCATGTACCTAGGCGTGAACTTTTGATCAATACACTCTAAACTCTTGTCTACACAACCATATTTTGGATTTCCTACCATCATCATTGGATGACATTCTTCCATCTCGAGCTCCTTATCCATTACACCACCTGACTCTACAATTACCGTCTCACTCAACTCAACCACCTCTTTGTCCACTTCCATGTTGTTCATCAGTCCGCTTGTCAAAACCCCTCTAGCCAACACATAGTGCTGCTCCAGCTCATTAGCTGACTTGGTTGCCATGTCATCCACGTCTTCTTCCTCTCTGGCCCTCTCTTCTATGGCCAGATTAGACTGAGCATTTGTGCTAAAATCCTCTACCAGTGGTGGATGTTTCTCACAATCAGAAGCTTCTGAACTCGTTTGGACTACAACAATCTGTTCTTCACACACCTTCACTGGGTAGAGCAACCTCTTCCACTCCATGTTTATCACCTTATTAATTGGCTTCATGCATTTCGTGACAATCTTTATCTTCCTACACATAAATGAGTTTGCTTGCCCCAAATCACCCTCAACATAAATGATTTCACCCCATAAGCTGCTAATTCTATTCAGATTGGGTTTATTCCACAGATTTAAAGGAATTCCACAGCAACTAATCCATACACATCTTTCTTGTTCCAGCACCAACCCTTGTTTCCAAATCACTATATCGTCACACCAGTCCTCACACATTTCTTTTACATCTTTCACTTTTAAGTTCAGCTCCTTCTTTGATTTAAAGGACAATATCATCTCACGCCCGCAACCCTTTCTAACCACTGTATCTTTCATTCTTCTATCCTCCAGTTCCATCTTCAGATCAACATTCATGTGCTCAACTTTCATTTGCAGTATTAGACTCTCATACAGTCATCCGTTGCCTATTTCTTCAGCTTTTATTGTAACACCTCATTCTCGTACATTAGTGTCCTATTTGACCACTTCCATATAGGACCTCTACCCTATGCACAGGTTCTTAATCGTTATATCTATAGCTTGTCGAGGTCTTTGTACGATTTGTTTCCTAGAATGACATTGTATTAGGCTTTTTTCTTTCCGACCCTTCCAAAATCAGCAGTTTTCACCACCAGAGCTTTATCATCCATCCAAAATCTATTAGCTTTTTGCACTGCTACTTTTGTTGCAACTTTATAACTATACCTTACAAACCCAAATTTTGACAACATTAGCCTTCTCCTTTTTTGGGGTATGAACACATCTTTGACAACACCAAATTTCATGAAAAGATTGAACAAGCCTTTAGGATCCATTTTTTGTGACAGATTATCCACAAACAATGTATAAAGATCTGTTCGATCATCCTTGCACACTAACCCTTGCCGCCAATGCTATTTCACAATAGGAACCCAATCTCTCCGATGTGCTCCTTTCCTCTCCATTTATATTCTTGTCACATGACTGGATTTTGTTAAAAAATTTAGAGGGATTTGGTCAAAATCTCTTCATAATAAAATTTTAATGCATTAAGGATAAGTACAAAAAGTTTTTCTTGAAAAGTCTAACAAGTATCACTATTATCAAAATATTAAACTTTAAAATAATATAACTTTTGCTATAGATGTCGATTTTTAATAAAATTAATATTTTTAGAATTCTCTTATCAAGATCTATCAAATAAGATCTATGTTGACTATGAAATTCTTTTAAAAAAATTATTACCGTTGAAATTGATGTAAACAGTAACAGTAACATGTTACTCTGTTTGATAGTAACATGTTACTCTGTTTGACAATTCATCTATTTGACAGTAACATGTTATTCTGTCTCACAATAACATGTTACTCTATTTGGCAGTAATATATTACTTTAGCTCATAGTAACATGTTACTATGGCAATATTGTTCACGAAAGAAAAAAAAAAAGAAAAAGATATTTTGCTTTATTCTTACTCAATTATATATTTTCTCGTTAGGAGGTTTATAAAGAAAAATAAATTAAGTTGTCCAATAGAGAGGTTTTAACTAAATTTTTCAAAAATTTAAATAATAGAATACCAGAATGGAAGTATTGACACTTGCTACATATATGCTGCATCATCAGCAGCGTCTTCTGAAGAGTTGTCCGTACTGTCTGATTGACTGTCCTCATCCACTGTCTTATCAGAGTTCGTTGAGGATGTTGGACAGTGAAGGGTTGTTATCGGCGGGGGGGAAATAAATTTTTTCTCTTATATTTTCTTGATTTTCACTCTTCTAATTATAAAATTTATATTATACTATTTTATCAGCACGACACAACATGATAATTACTCATCAGTACAATCTTTTCGCTCTTTCAAGTGTTGATTTTTAAGTTTATTTTCATTGTCTGTTAAAAATAAATAAATATTATATAAATAATATATATATAGTTGTTGGAAAATTTTGCCTAAATAAATATTATATAAATAATATATATATATATAGTTGGTGGTAAATTTTGCCGCAATAGATCTCAGAGTCTGTCCATATACGAAAATGATATTAAAGAATGATTTTATTTTGGGTAATGCTAGGGACACCAAATTTTCTACCAAATAAATGACCAAATGTCTCACATGGGTGTGGGGTCCGCAATTTTGTGGGTCCCACACCCATGTGAGACATTTGGTCATTTATTTGGTAGAAAATTTGGGACCTCTAGCATTTTCCTTTTATTTTATTTTTTTAATTCTTTCTCATGGCTGTTGGCTGATTCTAACTTAGGAAACAAAGAGTCGTGTTGTTGGAAGGAAAGGCATCACTCATATTAATTAGTTCTTATCAAGTCTAACTTACATATGTGAACTAATTATGTCATTCTAACTATGGCACGATATCCAAAGTTTTGAGTTTGAGTTTTTTAAAGGGTCATTAAAAATTAGAAAATTATACAATAGTCTTGTAATATTATGTCATGTTGTCGTGCTCCTTCACCAATCACTATTTATTATGCCTGCTTAAATTCCTCGAATAATGTTTGAGAATTCTAATTTGAGAGCTCTAATGCAACTCTAATAAAGTAGAGAGTATCCATGTGAAAGTGGGTCCACACTCTTCTCTCTATCTCTTCCACCTTACTATAGAGTTTCATTTAAAACTCTAGTGTATCATTACTACAAATTCCTCAATCACTTAACACAAATAATTAATACTCTAACTTGTCCACCTATCACAGGCTTTGTTTGGCAAAAAAATTGGGGCTAAATTAGACAATATCACATCTAAACTATAATCATTTTACTTTTTCTTTTATAAAAATAAAATAAAAAATCAAAAAAACCTATTCAAATGAACTTTTTAGTCTCAATCTAAAATAATCAAAAAGTCAAAAAACTAACTAAAAAGGCTTTTTTCCAAACGACAATATACTATCATAGAATATCATGTAGCCGTAATCCCGAATTACTAAATAATCATTCAAATTTATTTAGTTTTTAATTTCAAAATTTTTATGGAATAATTTTTACCTGTCTAAATACGAGGTAATTGGGTCCAATTAAACTAAGTTGGATTGAACATGAGATACCTTATATTATTTTTCTTAAAAAAAAAAGAAAAGAAAAAAAAACTGCACCAGACCAGATCCTCAATCCCTTGGTCTTAATACATTTCTAACAACTGAGTTAGGTAGACAAGTTTAGGTTAGAAGCCAGGCATGGACATGCCTCGCAACGCTCGGCATGACCGAACTTGCTCGAGTTTACCCTCTTAATATTACTATTGTTTTAATAACATGGACTTGTTAATAAAAATGTTGGGCTTCATAAAAAAAAATATTAAGAAAAATTTTATGAAATTTTTAAAAATAATTTATGTGATAGGTAACAAAATAAGAAAAGAAGTTTACCTTAATGTAAGTGTGTTTTAATTTTGAAGTCTTAGTTTGTAAATAATATAAATTTTGTTTTGTCTTATAGTACTCTATAATAGATAAGTTGTAACTTTAGTGTATGTGATTGCATAATATATAATAAAACACTTAGTTTACAAATAGTATAAATTTTGTTGTCTTATAGTACTCTATGATTGATAAGTTGTAATATGTGATTGCGTAACATATAATAAAATATCACAAACTAATCAAAAGGTAGAAAATCTTCATGGCCATCTTCCTGAAAATTTTTACCATTACTCGTTAATACTTCAAAGCTAAAGTCATACCACTACAAAAAAAATTAAGATTTTAGAAACCAAAATTTAGAAACAATTATTTTGTAGGAACCAAATATTTTTGTTGCGAAAAGTGTCGTCATTCTATTTTTAGCAACAAAAATTAGATATTAGTGATGAATTATTATCTTTTTGGGACGAAATTATTTTGTGCCTAAAAGTTTATTT